GCTGTCATCCTCACTATATAATGTCAAAGATTTGTTCTGTTCAATCTTCACCCAAACAACAAACTTTAAAATCCATTCTAAGAGAATGGCATCATGGGCTATGATTTTCTCAGAAGGAAAAAATCATACTATCAACAATCTTAATAGAATGTTCTTATATCACTCATTTCGCCTTAAAAAAATAAAAGATAAATAAATAAACAGCATGCTTCTGAATTCACAGCATGTCATTCTAACCAGTTGTTGTGATCTTACCACTATACATCAACAATTTTATCACATGACTAGTCTAAAGTAGTGCTTCTCAAACTATCTGATGGTGTACTGGCAGATTTTTTTCTTTTTCAATGTTCAAGTTGTTGGGTGGGCTAGTGCTGTGCCCCCCTTTCATTTTTTTCTTTTTTATATATGTCCTATTTCAGGGTTGTTTTGAGACAATCTGTACTATACATGAGAACAAGATGCCTTATTCATTCAAAGGCCAGTCATGATTGACATAACAAGCCTTCCCAGTGTGCCAGGGACAGGTACTATATTTGTGCTATATCATTATATAATAACAAATCAGAAAATATTATTTGAACATTCGTAGTATTATTCAGTTATACCAGAAAAATATAATGAATATAATAAAAGTGGCATCTTTTTTTTTTTTTTTTTTTTTTTTTTATATTGATTTTGTATAAACATATGTCCATAAAAATGGCTTTAGATATTTCAAGTGTGTTTCCCACACAGTCACATGCTGCATCATCATGATGGTATTGTCATACATATTTCAGTTCACCATTTTGCTGTTCATTAGTTGTATAGCAATGATTTTTAACATGAGTAATTGAAAAATGTAACCATAGTATAAAACTAAAATGAAAATGTTTTAAAAAAAGAAAACAAGTCAGATATCCTGGTAGTCTCCTGTAATGTGGAATGTGATTACTGTTTCTTTATTTCCTGGAAACTCCCCACATACCACTCTTTGTATAGCACTGGTCTAGAGTACTTTTACAAGAAAGTAATAGTAGAGACTATCCTACTTAAAGGAGTTTGGTCTCTACCAGAAATTATAGCATTAAATAACTTTGTTCTAAATGCATAACTGGAGAGTGATAGAACCAACAACCCAAAGGATTGTTTACAAGCCATATATATGTAATAACTGTTTTCAGCATTAAATAACCAACAGTTGATGGAGAACAATCAATCAACCAACAGTATAGAGCAGTGGACAGGTGATTGCGGGATAAAGAATTCAGTTTTTGGTGATGCTTATTATCTTAATATGAGCAGAATACTATATCTGTACAGGAAGTAAAGAATGACAAAATTACTGTTACAAATAACTGTATAGAACTAGAAATACTTATTTTATAAAAGTGAATTCCAAGTGGAATGTTATAGTAAAACCCATAAAGATTGGTCAAAATACTGTGAAAATATCAAAAATGCAGAGAAGAAATTATCTCATAAAAATGTTTGGATTTTAATGAGTCTTCTCAAAGTTATGTAGACATTGTTTCAAAGGCTTTATATTGATAAGTTTTGTTTCAAATTAAATCTTGTGATTATCTGACAAATGTTTGATGAAGCAGGGAAAACCCATTAATTAAAAACAAAATGTCTATAATTTGTATGATCCAGTACAAAACCTTAGAATTTGTAATTTTTTTTTAAATGTGAAGTTATTATACACTGATTTAGTTGAACCGGTGTTCTTATCTTGGTTTTTATAGTCAAAAGATTAGTCATTTTTATCCTTTGGTCTTCGAATATATGTTGCAGTAAATTTTGAACCAAATCCTTTATTTAATCAACAAGAGCAGATTATCTGCATTCTGCTAGATTAGAAGATATCTTGTATCAGTTAATATTTCTGAGTTAATTTATCCTCATGATATCTTTTGTCTTTTCCACTGAACTATAGTATGTGTTTTTTTTTTTCATTGTGACTATAACACACAAAGCATGAGATTTGTCTTGGATCTCTCACATACACAGGGTGATTGAAAAGTAACTTCCTATTTTATGTATGTTGTACTCACCAGTCTTGTAAAAATTATAGTTAGGCTGGAGAGTCATAAAATAGGGAGTTATTTTTCAATCACCCTGTAGTATTTGTGTTTATAAATTCAATAAAAACAAATAACTATGAAAGATTTATATACCAATTTCAATATCTTAAAATAGCTAGTTTAAAGAAAAATGTTTAAGCTTTGAAAAGTTTTTATCACACTGACAGAGAAAAGGTTTTGTATTAAATTTGTGTTTGACGGAATCAAGACAGCACTAGTCTATTGTATTAACAATAACATGATTACCTCATGAAAAAGTTGTAATGGCTTTTAAAGCAACAAATAATCTTTCTTTTGTTAATATTGTCTCACCCATATTTATTATAGTGTTTTATTGAATATGAAATAGAAAAGGCAAGACAAATGTGAAAAAAAAAATTTCATTTGTCACTTGTGATCACCTAAAATAAAAATATTCAGTTTTTTTCCTTTCTTTTAATGAAATGCAGAAATAAAATGAACCCACCCCCCATGTTTTGTTGAATACCAAATTTTATTTAGAACAATATAAACCTGTTGTTAGCACAATTTCAAAATTTTCAAAAAAGATCAAATACAAAAAGAACAAAGAACTATTTTTCACATGATAATTTTAATAGCTCAGATCAAAAATGGAGTATAGCTGCTATATCGACTGGAACAGCCTAGTCCTCACTTGCCTGTCTTGATAGTTCAAAAGCATCTACATAGACCTGTGGATGAGGAATTATTTTCCACCCTACAACACTTTTCCCATAGACAAAACATCAGGAGCCTATCTCTGCCCTATCATTCTTTTCCTCTTTCCCTGGCATGTGTTCTGATGAGCTACATTCTTTAGTCCCAACACCCCTGAGCTTTAAAAATGGGACCCACCATGCCACTTACACAAGTGTGAATCATCCTCATTCTCTTCATATTTCAATAGTAGGAAGAAAGTTCCACTTGGACAGCTCCTTCGTGGAACAGACTCCCAGCAGGTTGTTTTCCCAGCCACTACAATCTTGACTTCTTCAAGTCTAGGGTTAACCATTATCTTTCCTACATAGCCCCATAAACTTCACTTCTTGCCTTTTCTTACCCTTATACAATACCACACAGTAATCCTCTAACTTGAGTGGCTCTTGGGCCTTGTATTTGATGAAAATTTGTTATGAATTGTTTTAAAAAAAATAATAAAAGCATAAAATAATCAATGAATAATTGTCTTTTTTGATAACATGAGTTAAAATCCATTCTGTATTACATTACATTTACATACTTTACTTGCATTATGCAAATGCAGGTGTATAGTTTTCATAATATTTCCTCTTGATCAATCATATTACACTTTATAGGCTCTTAGTTGTAGAGTCATCATTGTTGTAGAATGGCAGGATGCCAGATTAAACACTGGATTTACTTTGATTGATCAGTAACAAGTTTTTCTCCAGTAAAAGCTGTTAAGGATCTCTTTACCTCTCCTCTATTTGAATGCTTTTCATGTTTAAGATGCTAAGCTTTGTTCTTCAACATTTTCTTACTACTTGATAAGAAAAACTTGCTTCCCCCCCCTATTTGTTGAATTTTTTTGTTTTGACCTTCTGAAGTAAAAAAAAAAAAAAAATAATTGTTGAGACTGTTCAATTTCTCAAGATTTGAAAATTCAAAAATTATTTTCTGAGATAAAAAAAAGCTCTCAAGTAAAATTTCTACTTTGAACCATTAAAGGATCTGAGGTTAAAGCTTTTACATATTTCATTGACTTCAACTGACAAGAAAAGGTACATTTTCATCATCAATTGTTGGTTTAAAAAGAAAAATTCTATATTATATAAAAATAATGGAAAAGATGTAGGTTTCTCTAGATCTTTTTTTATCTCATCTCATCAAAAAAAGTTCTCATTAAATTGTTTTCCTGTCTGAATTTCTTGGATGAGAAGTTATCATTTTCATGCAAATGTCTATTTTCCTCATCTTGTTTCACCTGTTGTGCCTCCAGCTTTCATCAGGTGCTTGTTGATCTGGTTAATCTTCAGGGAATTTCAAACTGAACCCTTTATTTAATCTATGGCAGTAGATTGTGTTCATTCTGCTGCCCGTATCTAGGAATATGTCGTCTAGTTCTTATTTAGTACTGTTCAGTTATTAATCCACTAGGCTATTATTCTATGGACAACGGCTGAAATGTTAATGACAACGTTGATGAGGACAATAATCCATGTGTAACTAATGTAAAAGTTCAGGTTTACCTATCACCTGGTTCACACTCTTCTCCAGTTCTTTTGAATAGGAGTAGAGGTTTATTCTTTGTTCCTTGTTTTTAGGTTTTTAATTCATTCTAAAGTTTTTTTCATTCTCTTTCACGTTAGCCCTTGGTGTCTTAATGACATTATCGCCTTGCTTCAGGTGAATCGATTAATAAAAAAAATGGTTTTTATTAGATTTATTAGATTTGCACTCGTGACCTAACAATTGACCACAATTTTATGTTTATTGATTTGACTTTGACATTTTAAAATCTCTGACAACTGGGTAGCATTTTATAATTTTTTTTGCCAAGTTATATAATTATTATTTTTTTATATATAGAGAAAAAAATTTTAATAAAATTATCAGTGCTCACTTTCATTTTTTTTTTTTTTTTTTTTTTTTTTAACCTGTATGATTATTTTTGCTTTCCTTGGACATTTAAAATTGTTAAATTATTCCTTGATTAGTTTTTTTAAATACTTTTAATTTTTCCTTTTTATATTTTTTTTCTCTTTATTATAAGCTTCAAGGTTCTTGTATTTAAGAAGTCAAAACTCAATCATACAATTTAGCCAAGAATTTTTTTTAATATTCTACAAGTATACATATAGATTTTTAAAGAATAATGATCAATATTTCATACTAATTTTTGTATTTTCTTTTCAGATGATTTGAAGAACAAGTTGGAGGCAATAAATTCAAGAGGAAATCTTCCAGACAATGGATGATGACAACACATCCAAAAGCAATCTCCCTCCCGGAAGGTTTAAAAATATTCGCCAAAAATTTGAGATGGGAAGTCCTCCACAAGATGAAGAGAACAATTATGCAGTGATAAACGATAAGGAAAGTAATAATGATATTGTGGTGGCACCCAAACCTGTCCCTCGACAAGCACCAACACTTAAACAAAAGCCTAGCATCAAAGGCCAAAAACCTCATTTTGATGAAAAAGGCACCCCACCTATTATTATTCCACGGACTAAACGGGATTCTTTTGTGAAGAAGGAGCATTTGAACAATTCTTCTGATGATTTGGGTACTGTTAAGAACCTGAACTCTGATATTGAAAGTAGTGAAAATAATGAGAGTTCTGCTGGCAGAACTCATAGACGTGGACTTTCAGATTGTTCAACTGGACAGCATTCATTTGAAGATGATGTCAAACCAGAGATCTTCAGAAATCAGAGATGTTCTTCAGGGAATATAGAATCTGATTCTTCTGATGGCTCTGGAGATGGTGCTCTTGTTTCCAAGAGGCTAAGGGTTTTTCAAACACCCACACCCTCCAAGAAGCCTGAAATAGCACCAAGGCCTGCTAGCATGATAGGGTTTACTTCAAGTCTTCCTCGGAAAAAAGTGGCAAGAAATCTGTCAATCAAAGAAACAAGCAGCTCTGCATCTCCTTCCAAAAACAGGCCTCTCCACAATGCTTCACCCACATTTTTGAAGCTATCTCAGGATGACAACATATACAAAGATAAGAATAAAGAAAAAGATAATGCCGACAATGAGGACAAGGTACCAAAACCACCGCCAAAGCCGCCAAACCTCCCTGTGGGTGCTCCACCTAAAAAGCCTCCTCGAACGTATAAGCACGATGAGTTTCTGAAAAATAAAGACTCTACAGTTTTTAAGGATAATGAACTTTATGAGAGTTCAGAAAACTTTATAAAGAAGCCAATCACAAAAGCTGAAGTGAAAGAGACTCCTAAAAGACCGCCCCGTCCCCCTCCACCTCGGCCTCCTATCCCTCGGTCACCCTTGCATGGAAATCAAGGGGATCAAGATAGTTCCAAAAGACCCTTAAGGCAACATCTGTATGACTATCCTTACTGTAGACCTAAATCACATCAAAATAATTCTGTGATATCGGGTGTGAATGGTTCTCCATCCAATTTTACTCTAAGAAAATGTCTGAGTGTGGAGAGCATTGCAACAGAGAATAAGGCAAACCCTGTTCCTGTCTATTTAGAAACATCAAAGTTTGGACGTTCTAGAGATGATTTGGATGCCTTGAATGGTGTGGAAGTATATGTTGATGAAGAGGGATATGCAGTACCCTACAAATTTGTTGTTAAAGATCCAAATTTTAATATACAATCTCACAAAGAGGTAATTCTTCTTTTTTTATTAATGACTCTTTCTGATTGCTAATTTCAAAATGTTGAGTTGTTTTTTTTTTTTTTTAATTTATATGTTCATGTTTAAATCTAACATGTGTAATGATGTATAGATATACAGGTGGTGTAATGTTTGTCAATGCAAAAAAATAGAATTGGCAAGTTCAAGTTCCAGCAAGGCTATTGCATGAATCATGAAAAGCATGAATCTATCTATTCTCATCATCCCCAGCTATGGGTAAAATCGCAGAGTACCCTGGGATAATAATCCTTGCTTGACAACTTGTTTAAGAAGAGGACAACTCTGAATTCAAAACTCTGAAAAGGGCAACAGTAATCCACTCCAGCTAACTCTACCAAGAATAACTATGGCAATGTGTAGTATAAAAATATTAAAAAAGGGAAGCTGTCATGAGCCACAATTAATTGCCTGTTTCTTGAAGAAACATAAGAATTCAATTATACTGGTCATTACAATTGAATGAATTAGTTTTACTCAGGTTACATTATTGAATATTTTTACTCGGTTTAAAAGTTTTGTATTATAAATTTTTAAATCTTTATTCTACTGCAAAAATTTCTCTTGAGTTCATGCTATTTCTTATGAAGAGAGTTAATGGTTCTTGGAAACCTTTTCTGAACACATTTACCAACATTTTAATGAATTTATCACTAAATCCTTTTATTTCTTTAAAGGGCTACATGCATGCATTTTTTACTTATTGCTTTAAGAGAGAACCACTCATAGCAAATTCAGGTTTATTTGCCATTTGTCATATCTTCAAATCATTTTGTAGAATATATAAGAGTCTTGCTTATAAATTGTTAATATTTTTTGTCTTCTTTGCTTTTGACTCTTGTTACTGATTAGAATATTGCTCATAGATATAAACTACTTTGCTAATTACATCTTGCCATAGTCCAACTACAAAAAATAATTCTGTCTTAAATTTGTGATGGTCATTCTAAATATTTTAATGTATTCTATGGCTGTGGTGCATAAAAGAGAATTAAAAAATCAATATGGTTTAAATTATTTCTTACTATCAGTTTTAAAAAATGACGGTCAATTTTAATAAATATTCCTAGTCATTCTTTTAAAGTTTTTTGGTAATAAGTTAAAAAAATACCTGAAATTACTTTTCTGCAATTATCAGTACTAAAAATGTTAATTTTCTTGATTATATCAATATCCAAGTTTTCAAATTTAATTTTTTTGTCTTTTTTGTTTGATGAACTTACAAAATTTTATGTATAATGTTCAAAAAGTAAGGTATAAAAATTTACTGATCCAATTTGTTTATTACTATACTATACAAATAAAGTATTGGGCATATATTACCAGGTCCTTGTACATATAGTCACCATTAAGATTGATCCACCACTTGTTCAATTAATATATGTGTATGAGATATATATATATATATATATATATATATATATTCATTGACTTACAATATATGCAACTTATGATGGTTCCACTTTATGACGATGGCATGTCGTTAAAACTCATATGTCTGAAAAGTTAAAGTGAGTGAGTGCATCGAGTGTGTTGCATATGTACGACAGTTTCTGCACAGCCACCCAGATACAGTAGTAACCTGTTACAGTACAATCGAGTTATATCTGTGTCTTCTAAAATTTCTTTCAAAACACTCTATGATATCTTCCAAGAGGAAATTATCTCTGCCTACTCCTAAGTCTGCCAAGAAGGAAAGCACAATTGGAAACAAAGGGCCCAAACATTGAACAATTTGCAAGGATTGAATGGATAATGCATGGTACGATTAGTCCATATTGTGTAATTTATGATGAGAAAAAAAACAGACGATTCAGACAAAGCTAACCAAGTTTATGAAAGTTGTATCTCCTCCCAATAATAGATATTAAACAGATAAAGACAATGAGAGGAAAGAAGAAAACAATAAGTGATAATAAAGAGAGCCACAGAAAAGGGTAGATGAAAAGAGTGTGAGAAAGAAGTTAAATAAAAAATTATTATTATTATAGTATCATGACACACCATACTATATGCATAGTAATTTACAACCAAGCCATATTACAATGTCTGTCAGAGCAAACTGCCATTGTAAGTCGACAACTACCTGTGTGTGTGTATATATATATATATATATATAGAGAGAGAGAGGAATCTGACAGAATAATAAGATAAGGAACAAATAGGAAACATTTATAAATCTAACATTTATTAAAAGCTTTCTCGGAAAATATGGAAGAGAAAAAGAAAATTTTGCTATTTAAAATTGTGTTTTTTATTGGTTAAGCAGACTCCACATGTACCTATCTTGTCATATATGCATAGACACATGAATAAATATACATGAACACTGCTTGACAAGACAGATGCATCTGAGGTCTGCTTCGAAAAACAAACACAAAAATTAAAAATAGTAGAATTTTCTTTTTCTCCTCCATATTCCATTCTCTGAGAAAGCTTTAATAAAAAGTGAAATCATGTTAGATTTATAAATGTTTCCTATTTGTTCCTTATCTTATCTTCCTTGAGTAATGTGATATCTAAAGTTACTCTTGTGCCTATGCAATTATAGCATCTTCTGTATGAAACTGCTTCTTGGATAAATGATGTTTGATGGAATGAAACAGATGATCTGAAGGAGCCAATTTGGGACTTTGGTGGACATGATGAAACAACCATATCATTAGTCATTCTTTTGTCAAGATTTTTGATATTTGAGTGCATAAATTTTTTTTGCGTTCCCAAATTTGTCATAATAAACTGAAGTGCCCCCATATTAGGCAGCAATACACTGGATGTTTTATAGGGCACTCTATTTCTGAGGTGGTAACTACTCCAGGTTTTGCTTGTACAACAGTAATAAGCACATATCAAAAATATATGGATTCTAAACAGACATCAGCAGCACATGAAAATTGCAAGTGACAAAATTAATACTTTTATCATTCCACCCATCAGTCAATGCTCTGTACATCCAAATGAATAAAGCAAGAGCTATCAATTACAGAAATTCTATTTTTCAGCTTCCAACCACAAAATGGAAGATCAGACTTTCTTCAACCATAGCTGTATTATATTTGGTGCTGTAACTGATAATATAAAATATTTCTAATACAAGCTATACATTAATGTGTCAAAATTTGTGATAAGTGCCTTGAATTATATAGAACCTCTTGCAAAGTTCAGCAACTCAATGTGGTATGGATTCCATAAATGGTCACAAAACCTCTGGAGAGATGTTGAGTTATGCCATCTAGACAGCCCTCCACAACTCTCTGATATTTGTAGGAGCAGTTGCATGCAAATAGACCTTTCTACCACTTTCTAAATGCTCAATTAGGCTCATGTCAGGCAAACATGGAATCTTCAAAATGGTTTACAAACCAATTCTAGGCAACTTAGGCTTGATGACACTGGAATAACAATTGTTATTGTGTTGTCATAGTGATCCATGAATGGGTCCTGAAGTAGAACAGCATAGCGGTCAGTGAATGTGATTTGGCTGACCAGTCTACCCAATGTCTGCCACCCATGAATACATTCAACACCACCTGCCTGTGTGGTGCCTTGTTTGCAACTAGAGTTCATGGCCTCATTGGGACTGTGCTATACCTATACCCCACTATCAGCCTGAAACAACTGGAACTATCACACAGTGGACCGGACCACATGTTGCCAGTCCTCCAGTGTCTAATTTGTGATATCACAAGCCCAGGTGAGGTGCTGTGTCCAGTATCATGATGTTAACAGGGCACCCTAGTGAATACTCTTGTATCCCATGGAGGCTTAAAAAAAATGCTGAACTGACCTGTTGTATATGTGTCTAGTCCCTCCTGCATTGAATATGGATGGCATTTGAGTCAAGTATTCCTGATACACATGTGACACCATAGATTTAGGGACATTAAATTCACCACAATTTCAGAAATGGAATGTCCCATCTGTCTGACACCCACTATCATGTTCAATTCAAACTCTAATAATTCATAAGCAACCCATCTGGTGTTTGCATTAACACACTAGATGTCAGTTCAATTGAAAGAGGTCTGACATCAAGGTATGATTACACAACCTACCTTTACCTTCATATACTAAATGTGTGTGTGTGTGTGTGTGTGTGTGTGTGTGTGTTACATGCACACAAGGGTTACTTTGGATATAAGGTATTCTATTTATTTCTTAGAAACTACAACAGATAAAGGGAATACAATAACACCATTAGACAGAGTAAGACCTCAGCTACAAAACACTATTTTTCTATGTAATCATCAACATTGGTGGCTGTGCTTTTGTCAGAAATAAATAAGTCTGCATGTGGCAGTATAGATAAACATGGCTTGTCACAAGCATCACAGTTGTCAGGGCTGAAATGCATTGCCCATTATCTAACTGTGGTCATATTCACTTTTTAGTCTCCATAAATGTGCAGCAAGCATTGGTGAATGTCAGTCAGTGCAATTTTTCTGCATTGAGCAATTCCATGATGCACTTTTCTTTTTTATACACTTTCATATCACATGCAGACTGTTATTGGTAACAAGCATCCAGAATATGAGTTATTGTTGGTGGGAAGGGAAGCTATTAATATGCTATCAACAGGCATTACTTTTGGAGTTGTGTATGTATGTATATGTGTGTGTGTGTGTGTATATATATATATATATATATATATAGAGGGAGGAAGGGATGGAGACAAAATAAAGGTATATTGAGACAAGGTTACTTGCTGGATAAACAATACTTTGTGGATATCAAGATGTTGTTGAAAATGTTAATTATGCCTAGCACAATGCATGAAATATACAATATAACCAGTGACTTTTCTGTGTACAGAGTGCAATAGGTAAATTAGAACAAATTATAAAGGAAAACTTGTTTTTTCCCAATATAAAAAAAATCAGTATATTTAAAAACAAACAAAAGTTTTATTCAATAAACCTTATCTCAGTCTCCTTGCAGCTTCAGAAGTGATTGCATGACCAGATCAGGTGGCA